CCCTCCAGCAGGATACCACTTCACTTCTACCAAATGCCTTCAGAATTAATGTCCCATTGTCTGACCCATGACTTGACAGCTTGTCAGAGAGATTTTTTCCCCGTGTCCAGTATAGACATGGCTCCGTCCTTAGACACTACTAATACAACTGGGGGGTGGGGGATGGGGCTTTTCTTTTAAATTAAGCACTATTTTAAATACCAATAAACATGCTACTGCAGTTTTGTTATAAACTGCCAACGGAATAAAGTTTTCATTTACAAAAAAATGTTTGACTTACCAATTTTTCTTTTCACAAAACCAAACTTTTACATAGTAAGTTGGAGAAAGCAATTTTTAGCTCTTGATAAACTTCAGAATCAGTAAGAGAGCTTATAAGATATTTATTTTAATGAATAGGATATTTTAAAAACTCCAATTAACTCAAAATTTCTAAACATGTCAAGCAGGCATCAATTTATTTATTTAAATATTTGTAGAAATCCAACGAATAGAAAAAGGAACGACTGGCATAACACAAACATATGTCTATCAAGCCCATTCCTACTCAGAATAAGACAAAGTAGAACTGCCTAGTAGAATTTCAAAAGCTGAAACTTTTTACTGAAGCAGAAACTCTTGTTTTCCCCAGTGTGATCGCTGATGAGCTAGCCAGTTTAACCACTGCCCAACAGAGTTCTTTAATTAAGACAAAGTAGACTTTAATACCTTACTAAATCAAGACTTTCATAAAGTGTACAAGATTGTATTTCTGGGAAGCCTTATGATTAAGAAATTTAATTATTTAAAACTAGCACCAAAGTATGAGACACAGAAACACCAATTTTCAGATAATGAAAGTGTGCACTGAGAGAAAAGTTCTTTTAGGCAGTAAATTGTTCCTATCTATATACTAAATTTTAGAATATAAATCAACATGTCATTTCAGTGTAACATTATTTGCTACAGTATGCAAACAATGCCATATTGCAACACAACCAAGAAGAAAGAAGTATATGCATACTATCTGTACTATCTATATTTCATCTACTGATGCTAATCACTCACCTGAGGGAGTTTTTTATCTTCATCAGACAAGCAGTCTATTGCATTACTGAACACCTCTTCAACCATCTTTTTCTCTTCATCTACAGAGAAATCAAAGAGTAAACATGAGCCAAAATGAGTCTGTTATATAACATTTCATTCATTACAAAGAAGTAGAGGATCCATATTTTAAAATAAACGATAATGTCAGATCAAAATTATCATATATTTAACAGAATTCTCTTAAACACTGTAGCAAGTAAACTTAAGCCATGAATGAAAGTAGTATTATTTAACAATAATAACAACAAAATTCCTGAGAAGGCACAGTGTAATTTTATAATGAAATGTGCAAGGACTTAAATGCTCAGCATTTCTCAGCTGAAAGAATAATAAATTCAAGACCCAGAGCAGAAAAATTCTATGGGTAAGATACCAAATGATGCAGGAAGCATACAAAGATGATGGGAAGCATACACACAGTCACTGTAACAAAAGGATCTGGTTAACAGTAAATCGTGTCAGGAAACAGCATATGATCAATGGTCACTTAGTACTTAGAAGTAGTGCTTCAAAGAATTGTCACCAATTCTAAACTATCTGAGGAAACAGAGGAAGATGGAATTCTCCCAGATTCATTCTACGAAGCAAACAAATCCTTGATACCAAAGCCAGGAAAGGAAATCACCAAAATAGAAAACTATA